TTGGAGGGCGTGCGAATCAGTCACGTGACAGCGGCATGACCAATGGGGAAGCGGTTAGGTTTGCGCTTCCGTGTTTCTCGGCAGAAAGTCTGTAGTTCACAACTAGGAGTTTTTAAAAAATGAGTAGGTCGGGCGTAGTGAAGTACACCTATAATCCTAGAATTTGAAAGGCTGAGGCAGGAGGATCGATGCGAGTTTGAGGCCAGCCTGGGCTACACAGTTCAAAGCCAGCCTACACTGTACTACATAGCGAGACTCGATCTCAAAAATAAAATTTTAGGGCCAGGCATTTAGCTGAGTGGTGCCGCCGGTCCTGAGTTCGATCCCCGATACCAAATTTAAAAAATTAAAAATTTTAAAAATGAGAATGTCCGCGTAGTGATATGGCAAATGGGACTGCTCGGAGACCCGGAAGCGGGGAAGGCACCAAAGTAAGGGCGGAAGATGTTACCATGCGTGGCCTATGAGAGGCGGAGTCGATTCTTCCCCCTTGCCGCCCAACCTCAAGGGCGCACCGCTAGAGCTCAGGCGAGAAGGCGGAGCCAAGATAGACAACCAATGGAAGGAGACAGGGCGGGCTCGCGTCCGCAGGAGGCGGGACCTGCTCAGCCTGACCAATGAGAGGAGGAAGCGCCGGGCAGTGGTTAGGCGCTCAGGCTGGCGCATGGCGGATACCGTGCTGTTCGAGTTTCTGCACACAGAGATGGTGGCGGAGCTGTGGGCTCCGGACCCCGACCGAGGCCCGCGGGTAAGCGCCGGGCCCTGGGGGAAGCAGGCGCGGGCAGCAACGGAAAGGCCAGATGGAGGCACCAGGACGCTTGGGAGGGTAGGGCTGCCGCAGGGTTCCAACCCTTGGTTCCGCCCCCGCCTGTGGGTGACTTCAGCCCTGGCTTTTTGAAATGAGGGTCGCGACAGTGCCTTCCTCGCAGGTTATACCTGAAATTGAGGGAGATGACTCAGGATGAAGCACTAGTTCAAGGCTGGGCACAAAGTAAGCGGTTAGTAATTATGATAATTGCTGTTACTGGGCGTGTGCAGAGGATTTGCCTCCAACGCACACTAATCAATTCTTTATTTTTTTCCTGAGTTGCTGGAGATGGAACCATTGAACCCAGGATCTTCATACCAAGCTCCGTCCCTAGGCCCTGTTTTCTATTTTGAGATGGTCTTACCAAGTTACCAAGTTGCCCAGACTAGCCTCAAACTCACGACCCTCCTCCCTCGGCCTCCCAGAGTGCTGGGATCCCAGCGTCACCACGCTCGACTTTTAATCACTTAAATGTCTGTATGCCTCCGTTTCCTCCTTTGCCAGATGGCATTCTGAGCGTACCTAAGTCTCAGAGTAGAAGGGACACTTATTCACTGGATGCTTAGCAATGGCATTCTGAGCGTACCTAAGTCTCAGAGTAGAAGGGACACTTATTCACTGGATGCTTAGCGATCTCCTGTTGTATTCCGGGCATGGTTCTAAGAAAAATGTTGTCCTGTGAAGTCTACGTTTTAGTACAGGAGTCGAATCGTGAAAACATGCCCGAAGTTCGTGAGAAGAGATCAGGGGAAGGGAGCCGGGGATTTAGTGCAGTGGCACCGCGCCTGCCTCAAAAGCGCAAGGTCCTGAGTTGGATCCCCGGTACTGAAGGCGCGGGGGTGGGGGTGGGGGTGGGGAGATCAAGGAAAGAAGAGAGCCAGGTAGTGGATGATGAGGGAAAGTCCTTCTGAGAAAGGGAAGAGAGAAAACAGAAGTCCCCGGGTAACTGGGGGAGAGCATGCCAGGGAGAGGGAAAGGAGGGCGAAGCCCTGAGGGATGAGCCTGCTTGGCATTTTGGAAGCTGCCCCTCATGAGGAATAAGTGAGTTAAATTGTCAAGCACTTCATTGTTAAATTGTTAAGCACACGTCCCATAAAATATGGATGCTCTTGTTATAAAACTCTGTTACTGAGCTGGTGCTGTCGCTCAGTGGTACAGTGCTTGCCTAGCATACATGAGACCCCAGTTCCATCCCCAGCCCTGGAAACAAAATCTGTTAACAAGAAAAATGGCCGAGGAGCCTCACAGACTGTAGGTGCACAGTAAGTGGAAACTGTGGTCACTTTTTGTACCTTTTTCGTATTATCAGGGTCATTATCCATATGTAGGACATTTTTATTGGCTCAGGTTTCCTCTTCCCAATTAGAATCTCCAGGGCGGCTGCTACTTGTCCTCTTAGGGTAGTGTCTTCTCAGTTCGTTAATTCATTCAACAAACTTTTACCTGAGACCTGCAAGGTAGCACCCTGCTGTCGGCTCACTGAACCATAAAATTCCTTGTCCTGAAGCGCATGTCATAACGAGGGGGAGTCTGACAAGTGAGTCCAGTGGGGGCTGGTGTGTGACTGCTGTGAGAACTAGGAAGCTGGTGTGGGGGTGCATCAGCCCAGGCAGACGTGTACCTGTCTTGGCACCCCGTTCTTCGAGGCGTTCAGACACCTGCCTTTTCTTCAGCCCATGGCCCTGTCCCCTCCCTGCCTCTGCCCACGGAGCCTGGCCCACTTCTTGCTCATTTCTCCTGTCGCACCTTCCCCGAGATGATGCACCCTAATCTTTCGGATCTTCACTGAGATCTCTGTCCCTCAGGGAGCACTTCCGAGCCCCCGGGGGGAATCAGCCCCCTCTGTTCTCTCCCGGTCACCTCCATCACTGGACAAGGAGGTGTCTCACTTGTGCCTCGGGATCATCCTTAGATTCTGCCGCACCGTGTGCCTGGGACCGGGTCTGTATTGATCCACCGTGTGCCCGGCACAGAGTAGGTCCATAGCGGGGATTTGTCCCAGGCAGGAGTGCGCAGGGAGTGCAGGATGCAGTGGGGGCAGGGATCCCTTCCTTCCACAGCAGTTTCCCGGGTGCTGTCCTGGGTGAGAGAGCAGTCGGCCTGGTAATGATGAAGTGGCCTTTGGGGGACCTTCTTGCTCTCTGTGGCGGAGTGACCCTCACGTGCACCCTCTGTGTCTGACACTCGCTGTCCGGGAGGGCTCTGCTCAGGCAAGTGTGGGAAAGCTGGTCTTGCAGAGCACTCGAGCTGCCTGGGACTCCCTGCCAGGTCCGGCTTCAGAACACTCCCTGGGGTTCTCAGCACCCCCAGGCGCAAGAACTGCTGGGTTTCAGGAGCCCCATTTTCCAGGGGGTCTGGAAAGCTGCTGTTTTCTCATCGTCTCCTTTGTTTTTGGTTCCTCTGAACAGACACAGACCCTGCTTCCTGGGTACTTATTGTGTCCCTAGCATATCTGTCGGGCCTCTGTACCCATGGCTTCTGCATCCAGGGAGTCCACCAGCTGTGGATCAAAAATACTTTGTGAAATATTGCATCTGCCAGTGAACATGTACAGATATTTTTCCTTTTGGTGGGGCGCTGATTGAACCCAAAGCCTCTGCACTGAGCTATATTCCTAGTTCTTTGTTTCTTTTATCACCTTGCTAAATTACTAAACTGCCCAGGCCGGGCTCAAGCGTACCATGGTCCTACCTCAGCTTCCCAGGTGTGCACCACAATGCCCAGCTCTCTCCCCCCGCCAGCTCTTTTATTGTTGTTTTGAGGATTGAACCCGAGTCATGCATGCTAGGCAGGTGCAGTACCACCTCCCCCAACCTTATCGTTTTTTAGAGTCAGAGACTCACTATTTAGCTCTAACTGGCCTCAGACTTCCTATGCAGTCCTCCTGCCTCAGCCTCCTTGGTGCACCACTGTACTCTGCCAGACTTTCTCTTGTCATTACTTCCTGAACAACACGGCATAACTGTTTACTTAGGCGTGTCATGTGTTAGTATTGCAGGTCGTCCAGAAACGGTGTAAAGCCTGTGGGAGGGCCGGTGCAGCTCGATGGTACGGCACTCCTCTAGCAGACCCGAGGCCCCAGCTTCCATCCCTGCCACTGCAGAAAAGATAAAAAGTAGAGCATTTGTGTGCGGCTTCTGTGCACATCCTGCTGCACTGCACATTCTGCATGTGAGCTTGCTTGGAACTTGTGGACCGTTCCCCTGCGATCTCAGGCCCACTCACCTGGCGTAGGCCCCAGAATCCCCTCCAAGGTGGATGCTGTTGGCCTACCTTACAGGTGAGGGACGGGGCCTGAGAGAAGAAGGACCCTTCAGAGGCCACACAGGGAGAGCGAGGCAGAGTGAGACCCTGGGTGGCTCCGGAGCTGTGCAGGGCACTTGCCCACCCCCACCAGCTCTGCGCCTTTGATGGAGCCATTGGTACCCATGCTGATGAGACTTCCTCATGGGCGGCCCCAGGGCCGGCTCCAGAAATGCCCACTGGTGTGAATGACAGTCGCCCCCGCCCCACTGTCCCTCCTTAGAGAGTGAGAAGCCCCTAATCTTACAAGAGCCTTCGCAGGGGCTGGGCATGGACTCCCCACGTCAGGGAGACGGGCTGTGACCTGCCTCTCCCTGTCTGTCACCCACCACTGTGAGTCGGTACTGCCAGGTGCCCCACTGCACGTGTGGGGAAACCGAGGCATGGGCTGTTCGGTAGCCTGCACTCAGCAGGTGGGTGCAGCAGGACGAGGCAGGTAGTGCAACGCTGTTGGCAAACCCGGCCCCTCCCTCTGCAGCCACCTTTCCGGTGGGGCTGTGTCTGTGTCCTTAGCATCCCCACCAGAACGCCAGGCCCTTCCTTGCCCTCCTCACGCCCCCAGCCCCCTTGGCGTCATCCCTGCAGACGTCATCGGTACCCATCACACTGACCAGCTCCCAGGGACTTCCCGGAAGTGTTTTCTAGATGCCCAGAGGCGCACAGAACCCTCCCTGTCACCTGAGGGTCCTCTTTAGCCGGGACACATAGGAGGCCACACCAGTGGCCAGGGCGCCCGAAAGCCGAGTTCTACACACAGGCAAACGTAGCCAGTCGGAGCCTTTTCCTTGGGGGTCCCCTTCTGGCCGAGGACTTTATCCCCCAACGCCCAGGGACTGTCACCTCGCCTGACAGACAGACCGCAAGCGGGGTGACACTGAGGCTGGCCGGCTGGCTCGTTTCCCAGCCCCTTTCCACCCAGGAGCCTGGGAAGGGCCATTGCCAGCGTTCCTGTCCTCACACAGCGACAGAGGCGTGGGCAGTGTGGGACGCACTGGCACCTGGAGCCAGCCACTCGGGCTCCTGGGCAGTGAAGGGGCCTGCATGGCAGGAGCGTCCCACCCTGCGGGGAGCAGGGTTCCCTGTGTTCTGGCCCTCAGCAGAGCTTTCCCAGCCCACCCCCCACCCCACACGGCCAGCTGTGTGCTGTCGAAGCCAGAGCAAAACAGGCAGGGGAGAAGAAGGAGCAGGCCAGCAGGAAGCTGTCCTTGTCACCCAGCAGGCAAGGCCACACTGCCCGTGGCATGCTGAGTGGGATGCTACTTTGAATGGCAGCCTCTGCCCAGCACCCCTATTCCCAGTTCCCCCACCAGGTGAGTCACAGCCTTTGCCGGCCCCTGAGGTGTCACCCTGTGGCCCACCTGGGCCCGGTGTGAGAGCCCCATGACTGAGTGGGGCCCCGGGAAGTCCTCCAGCCCTGCAGGACCCGTTCCCAGGTGTAAATTCGGTGGCTCAAACTTGAAGCTTCCTGCAAAGCCCCTGGCCCTGCTCGGTCCTGCCGCGGGCTAAGCCCCCCAAGCCAGGACCCAGGGGGTGGGGGTGGGAGTGCTTCCCGGAGCCGGGCAAGGGGACTCGGGAAGGAGTGTGGCTGGGGACAGAAGAGGGGCTGCTCCTGGGAAGGCCAAGACCCCAGGGCGGCGTCGAAGCAGAGCATTCCTGTCACCATGCACAGGTCCTGGGGGCCCAGGGATGGGCTGTGACTGAGCAGCTGCCTCTCTCCTGCCCCCCACGCCAGACCTCAGTCCCTTCACTCTGGGTCTCCCCAAGGTCTCCAGCCCTCTTACTGTCCCCACCCCTGGTACCTCAGTCACCTCCCACCATGGAATCCTCTGCCCCCACCCCCCAACCACCTGGCCACTACTGCAGTGTCCCTCCCTGAGCCCCGAGTGTCCCAAGGATCTTGGCTGGCTTCATCGGGCCTGATGGTCTCAGGTGACGCCACAGTCTTGTGGCCCAGCTTGGGCAAGTTGCCCACTGGTCATCCCAGTCCCCCGCTTACAGGGCGTTCTTTGTAAGGACTCACTATGAAGTGCTCCGTGTGGGATGGGTGTCATCAGAGAGCCTGGGAAGCCCCTGTGGTCCCTGCAGCAAGGCCTGCGGGTACCTGGGAGGGGCACCTGGCCAGCCCTCTGAAGGCCTCGCTCGCCCAGGCCCGGCTGGGTAGAAGCCCTCCTGCCGACCTCCTCACCCTGGACCTCCGGGCACACAACTGTCAGGACCCCTTGCAGCTGCCACCCCTGGCTGGTGACAGGTGACCGAGGGCCCCTGAGCCTCGCTTGTCCGGCCCTCTAGGCACAGAAGATAGGCCTGTCCATCCTGGAGAGCATGGGCTTCCGTGTGGGCCAGGCGCTGGGTGAGAGGTGAGAGCCAGCACCCCTTGCCTCTCCCACCTGGGGTGGGGTCTGGCTGGCCCCACTTCCTCACCCAGGCCTCTGGCCTGGGCCTCCAGGCTTCCCCAGGAGACACTGGGCTTCAGGGAGGAGCTGGATGTCCTCAAATTCCTGTGCAAGGACCTGTGGGTGGCCGTGTTCCACAAGCAGATGGACAGCCTCCACACCGATCACCAGGTGGGTGTGCAGCGCACCCGAGGCCTGGCGGTGGGGGCTGAGGTCAAAACCAGGCAGAGGCAGGGTGGGGAGGCCCAAGCCTGACCCAGCAGGTCGGTGCTTACCTCTCCCTGGTGCCGGCCACCATCGACTGCCCACGCTGGCTTGGCCCCTCGCTGGGTCAGAGGCCGGTGCTGCAGCTGCCCGGCAACCCTGTGGGGCAGGAACCAAGGGTGGGCAGACCCAGGCCTTTCAGAAGCTCAGAACAAGGGGCCCCTGACATGGGTGACGGGAATGGTCCTGGTGCCCTCCTCATGGCCCCTCTGCTCTCAGGGAACCTATGTCCTGCAGGACAACAGCTTCCCCCTCCTTGTCCCGATAGCCTCGGGCCTGCAGTACATGGAGGAGGCACCCAAGGTACGGGGGCTGGACTTCGCCCTTCAACCCCCCACCCCGTTAGGCCTCTTGCCAGGCCTGGCGGTGTTCAAGGCTGGTCTCCCCTCTGCCACTGTGGTCTGTGTCCCCTGCCCCAGTTCCTGGCCTTCACCTGCGGCCTTCTGTGCGGCGCCCTCAGTACCCTGGGCTTCCAGAGCTTGGTCACTGCCTCCGTGACAGCCCTGCCTGCCTGTGAGTCCTGGCGGGGGTGTCTCTGGGGCTTCACACTCTTCTCTCCCCGCACCCATCTGACATGTGGAACTTGAGGCCCAGAGCCCCGAAGTCACCAGGCCAGTCCATGCCCAGCCCAAGGGCAGCCCAGAGACCCACCTGGCACTGTGACCAGAACCAGGGGGACATACAGACGTCTTCCTCAATGATTTCCCTAATGGGGGGCAGAAGCCCCAGAGGAGATGGGTGGGCGCACACAACCCTGCTGTGGGTCTTCCTGATGTGGGCGGGGGGCTCCCAGGCCACAGACCCCACCGATGAGCCACAACCTCATTCCTACCTGTGGAAGCCCAAAGCCTAGAGCTGTCTGTCGGGGGCTGGCTGCCTCTTCCAGTTCCCAGGCCACTCGGGGGACTTGGGGCCTAAGTGGGCAGGGCCTGAGTAACACATGCCACAGAAGCCCACGTAGGGCCCTCCCCAGCTTCCTACATGCCTGGACTCCGTGCCCCAGCACCCACACAGCCCTGGGGTGCAGCCTGCTGGGCGGGAGCATTACCCCCTTTGGCCTCACTGAGCAGAGGGAGCGCCAGGCCACCCAGGCTGTCTGGCGCGGGTGGATGGCTGAGCTGCTGGGTGCTTTCCGCCTTCCCCAGATCCCAGCCTCGCTAAAGGCAGCCCTTGTCTTCCAGGCAAGTTCCAGGTGGTGATCCAGAAACCCCGAGGGCCAGTGCCCAGCCTCAAAGAAGCCCTCTAGGAGGCCCTGTCAACCTGGCCTAAGACCCCAGGCTGCCACCTTTGGAAGTGGTCTTGGGACTGGTACTGCCAAGGATCCTGGGCTCTGGGGTCATCCCTGCTCAAGAAGACAGGTATCCCAGGGAGGTGGGGGACTCAGAGTGGGGACCGGAATGGAGGAATACGAGTCGTGTCACTCCAGGTGACAGACACTCAATAAACACTGTACAGTTCAAAGTGTGGGGTGTCTCGTGACTGTGTCATGGGTCCCACTGCGGGACAGGCACCCTCTGCACACACCCACCCCACAGTCCTCCCACCTTCTGTGCTCCTCAGTCCCCAGCTGGTGGCCTGGGCCCACCTCCTGGCCCCCCCTTGCCTGCTGCCAGTCAGCACGTTTGGGGCTGCCCTCTGCCCAGTGGGGTGCATGACCACAGCCTCTCCCTAAAGAGCCCTGGACGCCCTCATGCCCTGCCTCCACACCCTGTACCAGTGGCCTGGCAACACCGGGTCAGTCCCAGGTGATGGCCTGGTCCCTGGGCAGTGCCGGCCCCTGCGTGCACCCTGCCCCCGCGTCCTGTTTGCATCTGCAGCACCTGGGGCCATCACACACCAGCACTCCTGCCTCGGCTCACCTCATGCAGGTAAGAACCCAGCCTCAGCTGTAAACAGGCTGGGGCGAGATCCCCGGACACGAGGAAAGATGCCCAGCTAAAAACCCCCTGGGGGTCCGGCATCCTCACCTAGCTCAGCCCCACAGCTGAACTGCACCCCTGTCTCCAGCAGTGGCTCCCCCTCGCCCTTCCATGCCAGCCCTGGGAGGCCCCATCCTGCCCCGAGGTCCACCCGCAGGTGCCCCACTGAATGCTACCCCTGGGTCCCAGGTGGGGATGGGCTGGCAGCTTCGGAGGAAGGGAAGGAAGGAGGCCTCCCTGGAATGGGCCTGGAGCACTACAGGGAGGAAACAGAACCGGCTGGAGGAGGAAGGGGCCGGGCGCTTGGAGCAGGGGCAGTGTGGCTTCCTGGGCAGAGCCGCAGAGAGGCACAGGCCAGCAGCTCCCTTCACTGTCGGACCCGAGGCCAGCTCCCCTGCACACCAGCCGCTGCGGGGAGCAGAGGGACCCTCAAAGTAGCAGATCCTGGGGAGGCGGGAGCCAAGTCCAGGGCCACAGGTGCCGCCTGTTCTCAGGTCCCTGCTTTGCTTCTGAGTGGTGTGGTGGTGGCCACCGAAGTCCGGCCCTCAGTTTCCTGACCTGTGGAGGGCGTCACAGCAGCCCCTCAGGTGTGGTAAGGAAGCAGGGGATTGTGGGAGCCGCTCCACATACAAGGTGCCCCTGAGTATTGGTGAGGCATCTGGAGCAGCGCCCCGTAAGTGGGTCAGCGGCCAGCACCTGTGTCAGCCGCCGTTGCTAAGGTCTGGAACATAGGCTCGGTGATGCCCCCTGATAACCTCGAGAGGAAGGTGCCAGCTGGGTCCACTCAGCAATGAGGAAGCCAAGGCTCAGAGCGGTGAAGTCACTTGCCCAAAGTCACACAGCTGGGCCGGGGGGGAGATGGCAACCGAGGTGGGACTGTGTCGTCCCAAGACTTCCTCCCAGTCCTTGCCCACAGTCCCCGGCAGAGCCGCCCAGGGTTGTGGGTAGAGCTGGTGGCCACGGGGCAGGAGCACAGTGGGCCCCATCCCTATCCCTCTCCTGGGGTACGGTGTGGTACTGGGGGTGCCAAGTCCTAGACAGCAACAGGACAGGCAGCTGCTGGGAGGGGCGGGACAGGTGGGCGAACCGGTTGGGCAGGTGGCGCTCGGGCACCAGTTGGGCCTGCGCCGACAGACACACAGCCCTGTCGTGTCGTGGGGCTGGCCGGGCAG